GCTCATAACTTTTAGTGTTTGACTTAACAAATACAGAAAGATGGCCTTTGTGAGCAATAAAAAGGGTTTATACCTTCACTATCATCACAGAACTGTGAAGAAAATCTTTTCACTCTCAAGAGATACAAAAGCATCAGCAATCCTACACTCTTTTGTGTATTTTTGAGGCTAGAAGTTAAGTATATTTTAAAGGGAGGACTATGAAACTCAGAAAATAATTTCCTACCTAATTTTTAACTGCTTAATATTTTTACAGGATTTCTGCCAATATTTTACATGCAGTGGTAATAATCAAGTACTTAACATATTGTTGGCACCAGCCAGCAGTCAGAGGCAGTTCTCCATAGAGGGGATAAAAGACTAGAACAGCTCACACAACAAATATGAAATAGACTTATCTGTCAAGTAGTAATATCCTGATATCCCTACATCACTAGTACTCTACTATCATGCCTTGCCAAAACCAGAATTTGTCCAAGAGTTTCTTTCAAAATGACAGTATTGTATTTCTTCCAGAAGTAAACTTTTAAAAAAAGAAGCAGTGCCAACAAATCAGTGGGGAAAAAATTAATGCAATCAACACCCTGAGTTATTCTTTACCTGCAGGTTTGTTCTAATTTTGGATGAAACCAGGAAGTGTAAAAAAAAATCAGTAAAAACAAAATCTAACTCAAAATTAACATTTAGATATGTATTTGCAATATGAAATACAAAAAAAAACCCTCATGAGGAAGTCCTTCCTAGTGCATAAAAAATAAATAGGCTGTTTAGGAGCAAACACAGCTGAAAGCAATTCTAATACCAGTGAATGTTGAATGGCTGCTGCATAAAGTGCACTGAAATTTTGCTTGCCACTTACCCGTGATTGAAAGGTACAAACTGCAGGTTACACTTTATCAACAGAAAGCATTTAAGAAGAGAAAGGGAAAGTTTAGGAAGTGAGTCTCCAAGAGCATGTTACCGAAGAGTGTGTCAAACTACATATCTGTCTAATGCTGTATTCTTGAGAATTCCCTCATTCCATGAGAAAGAATTGCATTTCAGTCATTTAAAAAGTCATCACAATGTCTAATTTGTGATGTTTATACAGCTGTTGGCACTAGTTTAAGTGGCAAAGGGGTTTTAACTATTAGGTGGTTAACTATTAGGTGTAATACTACAGTAAGTAGGTACAACTGCAAATGCCACACCTTGTGCATGAATAATTTCAAAACATGGTTCTTTGTATGAGAAGGTGAGGTTTCAGGTAAAATATTCCATCCCCATTTCCAATCCATACTCGAACAGCTCTTACAAAAACACATATTAACTTGACTGTGCTGTGATACATTGATAAAAGCTTTAAAAAATGCAGAAGAAAATTTAGTTGTTAGCATGCCAAATCAGTGTCAAAACAAAGTCTCATCTCACTATTTTTGCCACGTTTTTGAGACAGGTAAATGGGCAAATGGCAGCATGGTGAAACAGAGTACTCACCCTGCAATAATAATGACAAGAAGTAAAGGAAAAATTAGACTGTCACCAGCATTTAATGTCATATGAAGTACTGGCATTTACTCCTTTAAGGAATGTAAGCATCAATTCCATTAGAGACAGTTTGCAGCCCTTTGTGGAGAAAGTAAATATTGTTTTATGCATATCAGCTAGCACTCTAGTGGTATAGCAGTGCAAGATGGGATCTTTTCCAAATAAGTTCAGACATACCTTCTACTGCACCTAAAAATTAGAAATAATTTATCCTGATAGAAGCATATACATTTCCAGTACAGTCACTAATGGTAGGTGCCTCTGGAGATCTCCAGAGGGAGATTTGGTCTGCCTAATTTAGACAACCAGACATTCTTCTCTGGCCTCACTCCTAAAATGAGGTAGACTTTATTTAACCTGTAAATACAAGCTCCAAGTAATGTCTATTACTTTCAAAACCAGTATCTTTTTGAGATTGTCTTCTGAAAAAAGAAGCACATTGAAAAGACCAAGGTCTTGCCTGTAATCACAGCTCCAAAATCTCACACTTACTTCATAACCTTTAGTATTTGTACTTGCAGGAATGATGAATTAATCATGGTTTTAAATTATTGGGGAAAAAGGAAAATAATTCCCATTACTATTCATGCCATACGACACTGACTTTGCCTATCTTGATTACCTATTAGACTGATAGTTGCAGATTGCAGTATATAAAATGATATGCACTGAACCCATAATTTGCCTGCCGTGAAGATAAATGAATGGAGAGGAGTCCATCATTTAAAACTCTCCAAAATACCAGCCTGTACAAATAAGGAGTTTTACAGAAGAAGGTTCAATATGACTTTTTCAAGCCATATTCGTACTGACTGGTTCAGCAGAGCTCATATCAGTGCCTCTAATTGCACTTTGTTGTTGTGAATACGAACCTGCAGAGTCCAGGGCACAGATTACAGCCGTTGGGGTCCAACAGAATCAAAAAGTTCTATCGATTTTTTTGGTAAATCCACTATTTACAGAAAAAGGAGGATTATTGTGAGCCTCTCACAAAGGAGAACTGCCCAGAAACCACAGCCTGCTGAAAAGAGATACTGTAACTTATGCAACAAGGGGGTTGATTTCAGGAGTTTAAAGTTTTTAACAGGAAAGAACCTGGAAAAGAGAGTTTAAGCATTGTATATTTACATATTTTAAAGCTAATTCTTTGCTTGGGACTTTTATGCCTTTGTATATCCAACAGGAAAAAATAGAGAAGATGCTAAAAAATCTGTCCTTTTCTGTATGCAGGGAAGAATGGTCTTGATTTGTTTTCCTAAGTTAACATTAAATATGAGCAGAAAGGGATCTCAAAAATATCTGCCCTTTTGCTATTTTCACCTTAAAAATGATTTAAGATATACAGTTTTGTAAATTTCAGGAATTATTAGTTTTGAAAAACTTGACCATTATGTTTTGTTCCAAGTTAGCTATTTAAAATTTTTAAGTTTAGTAATAGAGCTTGGATAGGGTGTTAGGATTAAGTATGACCCTGGCTGTCTCTGAGGCATCACCACAATCCATTAAGCTCCTCTTATTTTCTGCTCATTGTAGGGTTAATATGTGAGAAATCTTTATTTTCATATCACACAGGACAAAATGGTGATCTTTTGCATTTGCGTCTCTAATTTACACTCCTCATCTTCCTTTCCCAATCAGTAAATGGTGAAGAAGAAAGCTTTTTTGCAGCTTCTTTAGCCCCTTTTTTTTTCTGGAGAAAAGCAGTTATATGTCAGGTCTCTAAGGATTTTGATGCTCTCTTTATCCCTTGACCCTATCTTCATACTCAGAGCTACAAGGAAAGAAACTATCCCACAGAAAGAAAATATACTAGGAGGTTAGCAGGCATTTCAGTATGTAAATTATATGTCCTTTTCCCCAAGATACACTCAAGTCTTTAGGGACAAGGGCAAGTAAGCTCTCAAAATGAAATACTTTATAATGGAAATATTCTATTCCACTCTTTTAGGTACTCACTCAAGGAGAAAACAACACAACTTCAAGTCTCTAGAGGAAGCCAACACAATAAACTATACAGAGTAGTTTTAATATAAAAGGAGGAAAGCATTCCTGATAGATGAAAGACCTTGGAACTTGCAAGTAATATTTGCAAAGTTTATCTTTGTATAGTATTTTGTAGTTATTAATTAAATCATGGCATCTCTTGTAGGGAAAATTTCATTGATTTTCTCACCATTGTAGATGCCATTTTAATAAAGAAGAGAGACAAAAGCATGATGCTGAAGCTGGAGGGATAAAAAAGATATTTCTTTTAAGAAGAAAAGAATAATGATTGCTTTTGAACTTCAAAACTAATGCCACTTCTCCCAGAAAACAACACTACTGATGGAAAAGAAATTTTCCTAGCTTTTTTTCTTTTTTCTATTTCATCACTCTTTGTTTTCTTGTCAGAGAAGAGTTATTGTTCACAATTACAGATATAAGAACCAAGAAGTTTTACTGTGAAGCTATCAGTAATATTTCAACTCCAGAAACCACGTGGGAAACTGTATTTAAAAGCTGTAAAGAAGATGTAAAAACAGAATTAAAGCAAGTTCTTAGATGGATCTAAATGCACTAGGCAAGGAGAAGACGTGTAATATCTCTAATTCTCTTGTTTGGGGAATGGGTTACAGAAGAAGAGACAATAAAAGTGAGAAGCTCCATGGTCTCCCTAAGTAGCCTCTCCTTTTACCAGTGCAGAGGAGAGGATGCTGGGTTAAATGGGTCACTAACAGGAAATGCTTTTAGAACCTTTCTGGTCACTGAGCCTTCAGATCAGAGTGAAAACTTTTATTTTTAAACTGAAATACAGAGCTGCTGGCAAAATAACTGTTGCCTTCAACAGAATTGTTTTTGTTCTCTAGTTCTGGATATCTGTGCATATAAATGTGGCATGTAACCAGAGATACCTGTAATACTGTAAACTTATTACAATATTATGATTTTAAAGACCCATATTGTAATTTACTTTCTTCTAAGCCCTGAATTTAGAAACTCACAGATATGTACATCAGGTAATGAACACCAACTCGTTTTACAGGCATATGATTTTCATTCAAACTTCCTGTTTTTTCTATCTGGCATATAAACAAAAAACCTTGCAGCCATATAAGTTAAGAAAGAACTTAGATTTAGTAAAGAGGGAAGAGGGAAATTATGTTTTATTGTTATGTAAACATATGCACCCATTCAATACCCCTAAATCATACTGTTTGTGCTTCTGTATGCTTACTGCAATGCTGAGCTGTGGTACTTACAGGTACAGATGGCCCAGCTGCCAGACCCCCACTTCCTACACTTATCTACCAGATGCAAGCCTTTTAACTAAATCATTTTTAATAACTGAAGTGAGACAGAGAGCAACTAATGTTTTGCTGTGGATGTGCACTCAGCAGAAACTTGAATTAACCTTTATGGTGCAATAAATTAATACTTTAATTACTAAAGTAGTAGTTAGAACTGTATTGTATCCATAGGAAAAAGAGTCTTACCTGAATAATATGTTTCAGCTTGTCAATAATTTGACTTATCACAGGATCTGTTCCCTTCACTTTTACTTCTGGATTTGCAGACTGAGCCTTGATTCCACTGCCAACCACACGGTGTGTATAGCTAGTTTAATACAGAAACACATATAAAAATGGAGTTACTCATCTTCTAGTTTGTATTATCTCTCATGGCACCAGAATACCCCTTTAATCAGATGCATTAATTTTATGCACATATTTTTTCACAAAAAAGAAATTGAACAAAATATAATTACTACCTTCCACAAAGTTCTGTTATTTATTAGCACTTTAAGTTTACTGTAAACTTTAATAAGGAAAGTTATCTACATTCTGTAGCATGAAACATTCAGCCCTGTAAATGTCTTTCTGTGTCTGTGCAAAAAGGCAGTGCTCCATTTTGATTTTGCTAAATACAACGACATGATGCTTGCCTAAATGTGTGACATTTCAGGTTTTTAAAACAAACTCCAGATTCCATACACGCTGTATGTTCAGAAATAAACCTGAAGTTTTCTAGTGTTTTTGTGAGTGCACGCACTGACAGAATATTTATTGAAAGATAACAGCCAAATTTTGCATAAATTATTTAGTATTACATTAATTATATAAGTAAGAGTAGGCCAAAATGTACTTGATAAATAGATAAATAAAAAGAAGTAAAAAACAGATATAAGCTGATTCAAAAAAGAACTGCTTGAGTGAGTAGAACATTGTTTATAATACATCAAAATTCAAAATACAGTAAATAAAATAACCACCAAGTAGGATTCTGCAGCTTGTTAAGAAGCAATTCTTCATTCAACTTACCAGATTATATGCAATACTCAAGTTATGCAAGAAAAACTAAATATCTACCTTCTCATCACAGATATTGTACATTATGCAAATACTCTCCATATGCTATATTTTTTCAGTGTACTCTATAAGAGGATAGCTCTATATGTCTCTGTCTCAAAAGTATTTTGCCAGCTGTTATGTTGTAAGAAAAAGAGAGGAAATAACCCTATCAGAGTAAAGGAATGTCTAATTCCTACCTGGTAGATCCACATATAAGCACAAACACAGCATATTCAAATTTTCCAGAATTTCTTTTATGAAAAACGTTACAGGTCCACTTAACTCTGCAGAAAAGCTTGAAGATATGCTAAACAATGAATGCAGTTCAGTAAAGCAAGGTTGCCACATAACAGTAATATTTTGTCCTTGATCTTTACTTAAATATCACCCTAAATGATATTTAGGATGTTCCTGAGGAAGTGTACACACTGAATAAATGAGTGGTTCATTTTCTTGAAAAGGTTTTATTTTGATTTACAGCAGGCAGCTTTTTGTGCTGTCTTGGAGCAATGGAGCCGTTTGCTACCAGGAAATGCTGGGGAAAAGCTTTGTATAGGGGCGTGTAGAAAATCTGCAGTCTGCCTGCTAGTCTTGGGCCATTGCTTAATGCAGCAATTTGGGTTGAGTCAACAAATCTTCTGGTAATTCTAAGTGTGAAAAAAATTAAAATAAAACATAAAAGCCTTCAAAAAATTTATCTGGCAGTCATTTGTATAAAACAAAATAAATATGTATAAATACGGAATTAATTCCAGCTGAACAGTGCTGCAGTGACCAGAAAAAAACAACTGGTTTAAATCAACATACTAATTTCATGCAACACCAAAATTTCTTCTCTTCACATTATAAAACCATAAAAATCTTGAAGTTTATGTCTATCCTTTCTATCCAGTGGACTTGTTCTGTTTCACAGCATGCAAAATCTGTGTTCTCACTTTCTGTCACTCAGAATTCTTCAATTAACACCTTTTTTTCAAATGCTGCAAACTCAACTATTGCACATTTGCCTGTGAACTGCATAACTGTGCAAAACAATACCCTTTCTCCTTTTTTTTTTTTTTTTTTATATTCAATGATATTCATTTCTCTAACCATGCAGGAAGAAATAAATCATGCAGAAGCTGAAACTTTCCTAGACTACAATTTTATTAGTTTAACTCATCTGGGAATTATTTGGCAATGACTCATTCAAGACTGACTATCATTTCTTTTTCAGCTATTTCTACAATGAAATCAGAAATCTTGCACAGCTGGTATTTGCTGTAGGACTAACTCCCTTCTTCCACATGAGAGATAGTAGCTGGGAAATTAATGCTGTCTTGTGAGTGGACCTGATATTAGGAGTTTCAATCATGTTCTCCAACCTCTTCAGAGTCAACATTTTCTAAACTCCTTTTCACCTTTTTTCAGTTGAGAGTGGGGAAGGGTAAGAAGCTGAAGCAGAGGTGATGTGCATTGAAACAGTGACAAGTAGCACACTAGTGCTTGATAACACCACATCTTTAAGTTTATTTGCATTGAACAAATATTTAGATCAATAGGTACTGGTGGTAACAACCTTGGTATTAGTTTTTGTTATTTCCTTGCTGTTTAGCACTTTTACACCTCCTTTCTCACTGCTGACCTTTCTCTCACCAACAGCTGGCACGATCCTTTCCAGGGCTTACAGAATGAATTTGTTACTTTCCCTGCTTTCTGCTGCCTGCAGGCTCCCTTATCCTCCACAATACTTCCAAACAGAACAGCACACCTTTCCACCTAAAACCTTCACAAATACACTGACTGTCCCCTAACTCTTCAAACCCTGCTCTGTGAAAACTGACACATTTCATCCCTGTCTCCTTACATTTTTGTCTGTTACAGGCCCCAGAAGATCCCAATTAACATATAAGTTTATGTCAATAGAGAAAATAACAATCCTTATATACCAACTCTTTGGGCCCAGTATTGGTATAATCACTACACATTCCAAAGTTTTCTGGCTAATCAAATTTACTAGATATTTACCACATTCCTACCTTGACTCTTAAAGGAGTTGATATTTCTTTCAAAAAATCCTTATACTTTTGAAGTTATGTGTTCTAATTCAAGATTTGTAAAGTTTTTACTCCTTTGAGAGCTTTTAATTTGTATTTCAAGACTTCAGTCTTGAAACTGATCTTCCAGGTTCTGAATGTGAGTTGTCCCCAGGGAACATACAGGGAGTAACCATCACATATGGAAAATGAAGAGCTGAATTTCAAAACTTAAGATTCATTTAAATGGAATTAAATTTGGAAGACTATTTTGCCCAAAATGTATTTGGCTTGCTTGGCAAAAGCCAAACCCAGGGGATGCTGCAGGAGTGGCCTCTGGGACAAGATGCCAGAAGCTTTCTCCATGTCCAGCAGAGCCAATGCCAGCCAGCTCCAAGACAGACCCACTGCTGGCCAAGCCCACTCCCATCAGTGATGGTGGGAGTACTCCTGTCACAACAGGTTTAAAATGGAGAAAAAAACTGCTGAGCAAGAGTTGGTGGACAAGATGAATTGAGAATACGAGAGAAACAGCCCTGCAGACCCATGGAGAGAGAAGTCTGTGCTGGGGCAGGTTTGCTGGCAGGTGACCCTTGGAAGGACCCACACTAGAGCAGCCTGCTCCTGATATACTCCACCCTGTGGAAAAGACCACACTGGAGCACTTTGTGAAGAACTGCAGCCTGTAAGAAGGACCCACGCTAGAGAAGTTCATGGACAACTGACTCCCCTGGATGGACTCTGTGCTGGAGCAGGGGAAGAATGTGAGGAGGAAGGAGTGGTAGAGACAGCATGTAATGAATGCCCAAATGTGAGTATACTCAACGTATTGAAGGAAATTAATATACATGTTTGCATTTTTTTTGTTATTGGAAATCCTAACCTATATTAAATATGGTTTCACTGCAAGGTGATCCAGCTTTGACCAATTGACATTAAAAACTCTCATTTAACTTTGACTTTGTTGTAATTATATGCTCTGACAAGTCATAAAGCCGACTGAACACCTTTTTTCTTTCTTCTGATGTATAATAAGGCATTGACAAAACCTTATGAAACATTGCTTTATTGATTGTTATAAAAGTCAACATATTTTTATTTAATCTACTCTTTGCTTGAAATTGTACCTTTGCCTACAAAAATTATATATTACTTATAAGTTATTGTTTCATACTTCACATAAGTGTGTTTAATTAACAAATGTCTAAAAATCTAATATCTTCAAATACTCTAATGTAAAAGAAATGATGTGTCAAGCTAAACAGGCTATTGGGAATCTGAGCGTGGTACACAAAACTTCATCCCTGTAGACGCACATTCACATGCAACATTTTTTTCCCTTTATTTGGGGGTGGGGGGAAATATAAAAATCTCAGACTCTTGGCTTGAGAGACTTCATTCATTTTAAAGTTTTAATATGGCATTAATCACTTTCTGTTTCTCTAACTCCTAATGTACAAGTAATGGGAAAAATATTTTAAGGATCCCCACCGAGGTAGTCTGACTTAAGCAAGTGCTGCTCAGATTTGAATCTTGGGGAAAAAAATGACGAATTTCTTGCTGGAGAAATAATAGACCCGCCATCTGTGCTCATTTCTGTACAAGCATGGTAATGTATCACATCACTTTAATAGGCAGACTTGGTCCCCAAGTACTATTAATTTTCATCAGCATTAGGGAAAAAAAAAACAAGAACCAATATATTTGTATTCTATAAACATATTTTAAAGTGATGAATAACAAGGTGCCCATTTTCTGAGCTCAGGATATGAATATTCATATAAATTACCTATTAGTCTATATTGTATTTATGAGTACAATTGGTGGGGTTTACTTCTGATTCTCTCAAGATCTCTGATGAAAGAGAAAATCATGCTTTATTTTCTATTACCAATTTCTTGGTACATGCAGTTGGAAAAGCTATTGGAAGTAATAAACACATCAATTCTTGTATGATTCAGCCATTTTGGATGTAGTGCTTCAGGAAGATCTGTACATGTATATCCTTCCAGCAAAAAATAATCTGTATTATCTTGTGATGACAATAAATACATCATATTTATGTTCAACAACTGATTATGATTTTCCTTTTTAAGCTACTTTTAGGCACTTTGACCATGTTTCAAGTGGGAGATTAAAACAACGAAAGATGTACTATGACAGAAAAGTTATTGTCCAGAACATCCCTAACTGCACTGGAAGTCAAGGCTCTCCCAAGATACCTGGTGATATTCTACATTTAGCAAGTTGG